TAAAACAACAACAAAAAAATTCAATAAATAGGACCTTATAAATTTATTGAAAATGTTGAAAATTATATATGAAAATACACGATAAAGTCAAATTACGGGACTTTTAAATTAAATTGAACTTTTACTTGATTAAAATCCATTTAATCTCATTAAATTAAATGAAAACAAAGAATGTTAAAATGTTTACAGTTATTTATTTGTTTGTGGCAGCTGTTTCGGCAACACTGTGCCTTTATCAAATACAAAATATGACAACATTCCAACAGCTATATATGTAAACAGGTAGTAATAGATTCTTAATTACCATTGAAGTGTTATAAATTTAAATTTAACAACGGAGACCTATTTAAATCATCCGTTATGTAAAATATCAAAATTATAGTCAAAGTTGTGCATTTGCAAATTCAATTGAATGACATAGTTAGAATCCAAACTTTTATTTTCGTACGATCTTTTATGTGTGTTCCTGCGTTTCTTAAATATTCTACCGGATTTCAACTTGTAGACTCCGGATTTTTTGTGATTAAGTTTTGATATTTTTTTCAATTTTCCCATGGTGTTTTCAGTTTTACAAGCGATCTTAAGGCAAACATTTGGACAGATGTCTCGAAACGTTATTGCTAAGTTCTCCTATGTGTTTTATTATTTTATAAATTTTGGATTCGGTGTTTAATAGCGGCCATTTTAAAATAGATTGTTTCTTTTATAAGAAGCAATTAATAATAACATTGATTTTGGATCCTCGTGCCTCAAATTTCTCAAGTCTGAGAATATCTATCAAAATATCAGTAGCGAAAAATGGACAATATGTAACAGAACACGGAAGGACTGTCTGGAAGTTTTGGGCGGCTGATGTCCTCTACTTCCGAATTTTCTACCAGTGGCAAAAATGCAAAGTGTCCGTCTGACGATTGTTTTTGTTGAAATACGGACGGGGGTAAGGTTCTCATGCAATGGAAATCTTTAAACAGCTTGGTACATGTATACTTTATTTCCCTAATTTAATGGATGTTTTTTTTTTCGATGTATAGAACTTTAAGTTGGCATTACCGTTCAAGATGGCGACCGATTTAACAGCTGTCAAGTGATTTATTCTCGGTTTGGTTCGGCAATTCATCATGAATTCATCAAGTAAGGCGTAGATTCGTCGAATGGGCCCAAAACGAGATTGCCGTTGTTCCCGATTTTCATAAGCGAATTTTCTTGAGCGATGAAGCGCACTTCTGGTTGAATGGCAACGTCAACAAACAAAACTGCCGCATTTGTATGTCGAAACACCGTTACATCCAGAAAAACTGACTGTTTGGTGGGCTGGTGGACTCATTGGTCCGTACGTCTTCAAAAACGATAATGGCCAGAACGTTACAGTCAATAGTGATCGGTATAGAGCTATGCTTACTACCTCTTTCATTCCTGAATTGAATAACCATGATGTCCAGGAGATGTGGTTTCAACAAGACGGCGCAACATGTCACACAGCTCGTGCCACAATCGATTTATTGAAAGACACCTTTTGAACCTGTGCATTGGCCTCCAAGATCTCGTGATTTAACACCGCTAGACTATTTTCTGTGGGGCTATGTAATGTCATTGGTCTATGCGGATAAGCCACAAACGCTTGACCATTTGGAAAACAACATTCGCCGTGTTATTGCCAATATACGGCCACAAATTTTGGAAAAAGTCATCGAAAATTGGACGTCCAGATTGGACTACATCCGCGCCAGCCGTGGCGGTCATATGCCAGAAATCATATTTAAAATGTAATGCCACAAGATTATCTTTCGGATAAATAAAATTCATATCAATCGAATAATCCATCGTTGTTTTATTGCAACCTAAAGTTATATACATCGAAAAAAAACACCCCTTATAACATTTAGTAACGTAAAAACTAACATAACATAACAGAGATAAGACATAAGTAGAGATAAATTCATATTTTTAAAAACACAACAAATTATGAAAGATAGTGCATGAGGCTACTTATTTAAAAACAGGCGTAAGATGTTTACCTCAATCTCAATCTCATAAGTCTGATAGTGAAAAATCAGATATTGTTAAGTTTGAAGATGTTAAATCAGACAGAAGTAACACTGGAGCCGAAACTGATATTTGTGACCGTGATAAATTAGATGGTATTAAACCTGGAGTTGTCAAATCACAGATAGGTAACTTTGGAGCACCGATCGATATTTTTGATAGTGAAAAATCAGATTGCATAAAATCAGGAGCTGTCAAATCGCGCACAGGCAACTCTGGAGCACAAACTGATATTTTTGAGAATGGAAAACCTGCTGGTGTTGAATTTGGAGCCGTAAAATCAGACAGAAATAAGTCTGGAGCCGAAGCTGATATTTGTGACATTGAAAAATTAAATGGTATTAAATCACGCATAAGTAACTAATATTATTTACAGTGAATAACCAGATTGTGTTAAATCTGGATCTGTCAAATTGATATTTTTGACTAACCAAATGATGTTCAATCTGGAACGGTAAAATTAAATATAGGTAACCCTGAAGCTCAAACTGATATTTTTGACATTATGTCAAAATCAGTAACTCATTTTAATACAACAGGATTGGATTAAAAATCTCATACAGTGATGGTGGTATACCCGATTATCTTTTATGTGCTCAATCGTATAGAACTAGAAATTAAATTAATAAAATCGATTAATTCTCCGTTACTAAGTAATACCTGGACCTTGGTAGAAAGACCTAAAAGTAAAAATAGAGTTAGTTGTAAGTGGGTATTTTCTCTGAAAAACTATAAGCATTTAAATCCAGTTAAATATAAGGCTCGTCTTGCAGCAAGGGATTTTAATCTTTGTATCTTATTTTTGTTTGGGTGTTGTTGATTTTGAGATTTAGATTTTTTTAAGGTATCTTATTCAGTGTTTGCCTGTAGCGCTGTTCATTTAACATGTGTTAATAAAGTGGAAACGTCTTTGTACTCTAATTTCTGCATCAGAAATTAGTAGAAACGAACGTTATCGACATTTGAATTCAAAGCGAAATGACGGAGGGGATAATTTGGTCACATGGCTTTGGAATTAGCAGAACTAATTCGAAGATTTGAGGATAATGAAGGTGGTAGGTGTTCAATACAAAAAAATCAGAAGTATTACGGAAGGAATTACGAAGAGAGCTTCGTAAGAGGTTAATTTCTTGTAATCAAGCTTCCTCGATATTTGTCAGTCTTCTTCGTAGATAAAACATTCCATTCTTTTTATTTTTTTTAATTATACCAATAAAAAAATTGCTGAAATTTAACCAAAGGGGGGGGGGGGGCGAATACAGGTGTGGTTTCCATTTGCGAAGTCTTTTTTCTTTTTTTCTAATAACAGACACTGCTGTCGAGGTTATTAGGTTAGGGAGGTGAACTGTTTTGTACTCCCTGTGTATTTCATCAACCTGGGGATAATATTGTTAGTAAATTCTAACCCCTTCCAGTTTTCGCTATATTGTCTTTGATGTCTGTGTAGTTTTTTTCAGGTTTCTCCATTTCCTACTCAATATTTCTTCGGTTTAGTGAAAATACGTTCTGCAAACAACTTAAAATGGTATTTCTATTTCATGCGAGTATAATTTGCATTTGCGTCCGGTTGGGACCCTGAAAAAATGTTTTGTTGTAAATTTTGTAAATACTAATAATGTGTGTATGTCAAGATTAACATAATTAGAGTTGATATCGAACGGTACGGAGAGCTAAACAAACGAGTGCTTGCATGTCAAAACTCAAACGACAACTGACTGGTCCCTTCTAACGGTAAAAAACACTTTCCCAGCGAAAATAATCTAACAGCCATAAATCTCAACCAATAGGTCAAAAATGTAGGCGATTCGGCATTGTCACCACTCGAGCGACAATGACAAGTACCAGGCATCACGACCCAGAAAACCACTTAAGAAGGTTGCATACATTTCTCAAAATTTCGATATTTTAGCCGAATAGCCTACAATAATAACAAATAAAATATATTTTTTATGCTGGAATTTCGTACTCACCATAAGTGTTCAATACAACCTAACCAAATTCCTCTTTCAACACCCAATTCTACCAATACCGATCTCTTCGCTACTGCTACCTAGCAAAAAATAAACTCGCTACTAAAAATGGCGTCCACCTCACAACATGTTGGATTTGTACCGTATGTGCCACCGGACGTTTCCGCTACGACTTTGCAAATTCACGCTCCCAATCGCCATCGCTACCGCTACGTACCGGGAGCGCTTTGCTACGTCCGCTGAATGCGACCAATTTGATGCATATTAAGGCCCCCACAGACGTCGTTGTTTTTTAGCAATTTTACCCGCACGGGTAAAACAGCACGGTTAAACACGAACAACGACTTCGCTCCACACATACGCGTTGCTTTGTATGTTTAGTTCAGTTTGTTTGAAATTGCGGGCAAAAATCATTGGTGATGGATTTTACGACGACGTTAGCAGTGGCGGCCGCAGTTGCTATTAAAATAAAATATTCTAAAAAACAACGTTCCAAATGGGTTAAACAATGGTTACTCAAGCGAAGACAATTTTCAAATGTTAATCTTTTGAATAAATTACGACTAGAACCGGGAGATTGGTTTAATTACCTGCGGATGGACGAAGAAACGTATTTGGAACTGTTCTCTTTAGTAGCACCACTGAGTGCCATATATTCTGTTTTAAAACACCATTACTTACAGGTAAGAAAATATTATTTATTCTTTAAAAGGGCGATAAAAGTATCCAACTAAAAATACATTTCTAAAAACACAACAAGAAAATAGAACTTTTTAAAGATATCTACATACATCCTGTATAACTAATTATTATACTCAGGTGAAAAATTTTCCAAAAAGGATCTTGCATCATTTGAGGATAGTAGTATCTGAGATGTAGCTTGATAGTTTCCTCCGTAATGGTAGTTTACGTTAATAGGATTTGTAGCAAACTCTTGTGGTAACCTATTTCCGGACATTTTTTCTGTTAGCGACATTTTGGTATGTCTTAAATGTTTCCCAGTGCAGCTTCAAATAGAATATCGGGTATAAATTTTTCCGCCATTAAAGCAGCATCAGGAGGTAAATCTCGTAATTTCTTGGAAACATTTTTTCCTACCACAGTGAACCTGTCTTCTTGCTCATACATATCCAGTTTTGCATTTACTTTTTCCAAAACTTCGTCAGCTCTCTCCTTGACGCGCCGCTTTTTTGTGCTATTGGAAGAACTTACTGAGCTCGGTGCTGAAGGAGTATTGGAAGATACCGACGGCGATCGATCTGCAACATCAATTTCAAAAGGAGATGTCGGGGATTGCACGGGAATGTAGTTAGATCCATCCTGGAAGGGAAAAGCATTATGTTAAAATCGTTGTGACGTGCTGCATTCTACACAACTTTCTGATTAGGAAGCGGCATGAAAATTACGCACCCTCAACTTGTTTTTATTCAGAAGATCACAACACGGGACTCATTGAAAGTGGTTTAAATGCGGAACAGGCATTTCATAATTTACAAATTGGACACAACAGACATGCATCTGAAGAAGCAAAAAGAGTGCGTAATTAATTTATGACTTACTTTCATAATGAGGGACTAGTACCCTACTAACAAAACTTTGTCTAAATCATCTTAAAATAAATTTGTAATCTCATATTTATCATGAAAAAATATACATATTAGTGAAAAGGACTGTAATTTTTAAATATCTTTAAAATCGCTTAAATAAATACTCCGGTGAAAAAAGTGCCTAAACAGGTTCAAATATGCTTGAACAAGGTTCTTTACATGGCTACATGGCTTGTTATTTATAAAATTAGGTGCCTTTTTGATCGGTAAGTTTATTTTGGAATTTTCAACATTTAATAGAACTTTTTGTAATACTTACCTCATTGTTACTTGCTTCGTCACCAATATTAGTAACTGTGCTCCTCGGTGTTTCCTGGTCTGTAAGGAATAATAGATATTCGTAGTACCACAAGTGTGGTTTATAGATGTCTTCAGTACCGGAACCATATTTATTAGATTGAATGACCTTTTTCAATTCCTTACGGAAGCAGCCACGTAAAGAGTCAATTCTCTTTTTAACGGAATCTCTTGTTGCCGAGTCATCTACTTCTTGTAACTTTCTTATCATATCTTCGTAAGCTTTGTTTTTTTTATCTCTATCAGAATACTTCGTAGATTTAACTTTCCACAGGCACGGATAGCTTCTATACAGTTCTATGAACTCAATTATAAATTGCTTGTTGTAATTTCTTAAGTCAGTCATTGTAAAAACTACAGCAATATATTTTTATTCAACAATACAATTTTAAAATCACTACTCAAAACTAACACTAATTATTGCTGTGCAAAATAAGTGAGTCGACACTGATAAAAACTGTCCTTTTTAACTGTTTTCCCACCACACACTGACAGACTTGAACGAGCGCGTTTAAAACGGACGGTTAAAATCAAGCCGTGGCAGATATTTTTAAACGCCAGCAAAAAGGACAGTTTTTGGCCACACACTGACCAACTTATCCGCACCGTTTTAACCGTGCTGGTAAAATTGCTAAAAAAGAACGACGTCTGTGGGAGCCTTTACTTATTTCCACCCCTAGTTGAACATGTAACCATTATATCTCGCCGCAAATGTTGGTTGCATAACAAATAATTCTTGGAATACCGCGTTCAAGCGGAATAACGTTAAAACTCCGAAATCGATCTTAATTAAGCGATTCTGTTTAGCACTTCGCGAACGAGTTTCGTCCGAATGATTATTTTTCGATCGACGAACCCCGCCCGCCGTCTCTCGCGTTTCATTAGCGAACGTCGTTCGACGCAGACGGGAGAGTTCGTTTTCGTTCCGCGCCGCCCGCGATTTTTCGACCACGTCCGCGGATGACCTTGGCACAGAGAACGAACGCGGGCGCGATTCTTCGCGTCTGCTGTCTTCTCTCTGTGTCGTTTTTCGACGAACTTTGTTGGGTGGCGGGCGCGGTGCAAGTGTTGCATACGAGTGCTCCGTGGCCTTGGCCTTCACCGAGATGCAGTCGCTCTTTATAGCGGCGGCGGCGGAGGCGGCCGCGACGGCGGCGGCGTTGTCTGACTTTCGGTTTCTTTCAATTAAACCGTCATGAAACCCGACAAAAAAACGGACACCGTATAATGTGGTCGGGAGAGAATGAAACCGATACGACCCGTTGCCGAAACGTGGCGAATACTTTTTTCGGTTTTATAAACGGGGTCATCATCCCGTCGCACGCTCATGAAGCCCGGAAAAAGTGATTACTTTTTACTTTCGAAAATCGATGAAATCGAATTTTCGAAAGTATCTGGCGCTCGTATAAAAATGTTATATCTCGGTAACGGTAGGTCCTATCTATGGGATCGCCGTTGGTACAGAAATAATCACCGTCGAAAAAAAAAAAAATTTTTTTCTGTTCGTCCGTTCTTTGTTGTCCGTTCTCCGTTCTCGTCTTTTGGTTTTTCCTGAATAACTTTCGAACTTTTTAACCCTCCACGAGGCACATAAGCTTGTAAGACGCCGGTATCCATCTTTTTTTCGCGGTTTTCGACTGTTTTTGGACCTTGCTATGAAACACGATAAGTGTCCGAAATTTGAAGCAATCGACTTCATATTTGACACAGCTTTGCCCCGTGGAGGAAACTATTGAAAATGGGGGGCTGGAGGATCCGGAAGTATTCCAAAAAAATAAAAAATCGCGCGTGTAAGGGTCAACAAAAAACATCATTTTTCAAAAACTGTTTACGAGACCAAAAAAATTCTTCAATCAGAAGAAGCAGTAGATACGGCTCTATAATCTTTTTGTTCGTATACAGGGTGCGCCGCAAATTCAAAAAATTTAAAAAATGGGTCCCCCTATTATATAAAATTGGTTATAACTGAAATACTATGATTAAGATCTCACTTTCTTTCATATTGCGATATATCCCGCATAGATAGCAAAAACTTTTGTATTTTAGGTTTTCACCTATTGTACAGGGGTTCCCGATATTCTGTGCTAAATGAGAACTTCAAATTTAGGAGAGAAGTAAAAGTCCGTGTCCAAATTTAAACTGTAGAAATTGGGCGCAATCAAATATTACCAAGTATTTTTTAATTATAATTGAATTTTTTTTTTTGGTAATTTTAGCTTCCAGAAAAATATGTTTTCCTCCATAATCGTTCATCCGATTGGCAGAATTATTTAACCAGCAGACGCAGAAGATCCAGTGCAATAACATTTATTTCAGGCATTTTTTCGATTATATACACGGTTTTCAAATTATAGGCAAAAATCTAAAAGACCTAGAAAATTGTTTTTTTACAGAGTAAATTATTAGCCGCTAATCAAATATCGTAAAAAATATGACTAATTGGTTCAAACGGCGTCATAATTTTCAGCGTAAAAATTTATGTATTTGCGGTTTTCGTCTATCACATACGCTGCTCGGGATATTTGAAAAAATCCAAACGAAAATCTCTATTTCTAGATTTCAATCTAGACGCGATGACGTCATTAAATATTATCACATATTGCATGGTTTTAGAAAACAAGTAGTTTTTTGAAAAACATTTACTCCACTGGAAAAATTCCAGGAACCTAAGGAGATCTAGGGCTATATCCTCTATTTCGAACATTGTTGAAATTATATATAGGGTACGTCGTTTGTGGGCAAAAAATTCAAATAGATCCTAGAAATTTCCGCTTTTGCAGGTGAATTATTGGCGATACATGAAAAACTTTCAAAGATGTGATAATTCGATGAACACTATCGTAAACTGTGTCGAGAGAGAGTTTAATGTTTCGTCTATAATGCAGAAGACGCAAGATATTTAAAAATATATAATTTGAAATTGCAAATTACCAGTACAAATTTTAATATTCACTTGCCCCGCTCACCGACGATTTTTCGATAGCAGTCTTGTTATTACTGTCTCAAAATCGATGAAATCGAATTTTCCAAAGTTTCTGCGGTCGTATAAAAATTTTTTTCTACTCCCGTCTGTAAAATACTTAATTACACACCGATCTGGTGTGCGAGAAGCGTCACTTTACCGAGATGGCCGTATTTGTCCAAATGTCGGCCGGCAAAGCATTTGCGTAGAGAAAGAATTTTCCTCGATAGAGAATAATTATGATTTGTTTACATTACAATGTTTTTAAAATACATCTGTTAATATTTACAGTGATTCAGCTTAAAAGATTCTGTGGCATTTTAATTAATCAAAGAGCCAAACCTATCATAAATGTGTTTGTTATTTTAAATAAATCTTTGCGGTCATAGTAAAATTGTATTTAAGTACCTTTTACTCGGAAAATTGCATACGGCGACTATCACGAATCATGAAAGGTTAATAAAAACGTGTGCCCAATGGTTCTCGCAGCTAAAACTATTGACGATTTTTAAATTTATTCAATAAGCAATATGATTTATCAATATCTTTATCCAATACTTCAGCTGCGACTATTTTGAGGATATTGTTGTCCATTAAAACACTTTGGATTATGCCAAAAATTAACCCGCTACCTAGCATACCCAAGAATCAAAAAGTAAAAGTTACCTAAGCAGTTATCAGGATAACAAGTATGAAAAAATTGAAATTGCATTAAAATTTTAGTAAAGAACTGGGCTCATTACTTAAAAAGACCTATTTTAAAAGGTTAAATTGTAAAATAAAAATCCCTTAGTTACCAATGCAATACTACCTACCTACACCTCTCGTCTGGTAAGTTTAATAGAAGTTGTAAGTTTTTTAGCATAAACAATAGCGTAAATTGTTGTTCTTTATACCATATCCAATATCCTCTACTTTATTTTGTAAACTGTTCATTTTATTTTGTTTGTAAGTACACTGTATAGTGGAAAGCACCTATATAGATAATTAACCAAAGTAAAATAATTTAACCGCATTTTATAAATTAATTTGCTATCTGAGCCGTGTTCACACTTGTATTTTAATCTTTCTCTTTATTAGGATAAATGTTTCGGCCGCTTTCGGGTGTCCGTAGCCGGTGCCTCGGGTGGTTTGCACAAATGCACATTATAGCATTTTTAGTTTTCGCGTCAGTTTATTTTCCGAGCTACCGCACGGTTTGAATTTTGACATTTGTCAATTCTGACGTTCATGTTACTGAATGTATTCGTGTTGTTTTGCAAAAATGTACCCATAAAATGTTATGCAATGTATCAGACAATTCAAATACTACGTGCTATAAGCTACAATTAAAATCTAGTGGACTAGTCGGTAAGTAAAGAGACATTTATAATTTAAGTTTCCCACAGAAATTTTACATACCGTTCGCATGAACATTAGTAGTTTTTGCAGTTTTAAATTAATATTTTGTTTGTTTTGTTTGTTTATATTAATATTTTGTTTGAAATTTAGTAATCCTATAATTTGTTATTATTTTTAATTTGTTAAATTGTCATTTTTTCCTGACGGTCGTAAAAAAGTATAATATGCAACACGTTTGGTAAACTATTTATCTCACTCGTTAATTAAGCATTTAATGCCGTTTACCGCACTTGTTGCACTTGTATCCAAAATTTGAAGCTATCGACTTGAAATTCATTTGAATTGAAACTCATATGAAACTTAGTTCCCTGACGAAACGTATTGAAATTGGAAAGGGCGGGGGGCCGGCCAGTATTAAAAAAAAAATAAAAATCGCGCTTGCCAGGGTCCGAAAAAAATATCATTTTTCGAATACTGTGTAAGCCATCGTGAAAATTCTTGAACGAGCAGACGCAGAGGATTCGCCTTCACATGCTTTTATTCTTGACGATTTTTAAAAAATGTACAGGCTGAGTCGGTAGTTCACAAAAATTAAAAAATCAGTTCTTCTTTTAATCATAATTGACTATATCGGATCACTGTATTTCGGTTTTCAGATTCTTATATTCAAAATTCTTGTACCTGGGCACAAGGGAGATCCGGGCTAGAACTTTTATTTCAAGGATTTTGGAAATATATACTGGGTGTTTCAATTGTGGACACAAATCTAAAGACCTTGAGACCGCTGCTTGACATATTTAAAAAAAAGTTTTAGTTTCATAAAAATCCATGTACTTGGAAACTCCCACGTTTTCAGTGCTATAACCTCAACTACAGGGCTTTGTTGATTGAGTAATACTATTTATTTAATTTTCTGAATTCCTCCTGCGTCGGTTGTTGTTGAATTGTACTTGCTGACGCAATCTTTTTTTTGTTACGTACCGATTGAAAAAAATACACACCCTAGAAAAATTTTCGCATCACTTTTTTTGTAATAATTTATGTGTTGTGGGAATAGTTTGAAATGTAACAAGCAAAAGGTGACGCAAAAAAATAAAACACACCTACGAAATTAAAAAATGTAATTAAAATGAAAAACAAGAAAATACAAATTAAGCCAAAATAAACTGTTTAATATCGTCCTTTTCATCCACGAGCCCTTATTAAACAGAATCTGATTCGGTCATTTTTTCTATTATGTATAGAGTATATCGGTTATGGGTAAAAAATCAAAAAGACTCGTAAATGAAAAACTCTAAAAGATGGTATAATTTGGTTTAAATAGTGTCGCAAATTGTTTTCCTATTTACAGTTTTCGTATATTATACAGGGTGCGCAAGATATTTGAAAAAAGTTGCTATTGCTGGTATAAATGTGAAATGTAATAAACAAATTGAGCACAAATACCATATTGAGACAAAACTTTAGTTTTTCAAAAATGCAAATAAAACGAAAAAAACAAATTTAAGCCAGTGCAATTTATTTAATATCGGATATTCCCTCGACGAGCCCTTATTATAGCCTCTAGTAAGAATGTACCCCCGTGGCACTTCTTCCTATATTCGAAAATACATATTTTGAATTTGGTCTATGGTTCTAAATTGTGTTTAATGTTGTAGAAGCTGTCAGTTCATGGCAGTAATGTTAACTTCCTGCAGGTATTCGGTATTGTCGCCTATAAAAGAAAAAGAAAACGAGACTACGTGAATTTCAACAGTCTCTCTTATGTACCGATCAGCCACCCATTCTGTGAGTCCGTTATAAAACATGAAACATTTGCCTAAAAAGAAAAGTAACCTATACGACAACCTAAAGTATAATAATAAAAAATGATCTTTATTTTTCAAAAAATATATACAAATAATTACGAAATGAAATAGAGAAACGCAAAATTGAAAAAGAAAAAATACCAGAAGAAAAAATGGCACAAAACAAAAATTGACCAAACTTATAAGAATTAAATATCAGGGCTAAATTTAATTCAAGATAAACGACTACCAAAACCAACTTACTACAAAGGAAAATAAAATGTGATTAAAAAAATGTGATCTGCAAAAGTTTCATTGTGTGGATTTTGCAAGAACTTATAGAATTTTTTTTTGAGTGAAGGAGGCAGTAAGCTTTAGCATTACAATAGGAAAAGCATTTCTGAAAAAGAGCTGATTTATATTGAGGAAACGATACTGGAAATCCTAATAACACTTGAAAGTATTTGACTTGATAATATTGGATTCGTTCGTGATTTTTGTAGACCATTTCAAAAGTTTGTATACATTGCATCACAGCAAAGAAAATTTGAAAGAAGTAATAATTAATATACCAATTTATGAGAGTGAGAGTGAGATGGTTTTAATCGTTTTAATTCACAATATATCTGAGTTGTTGCATTGCTTCAGTTATTGGTTATTTGGGCTAACGTCAATATAAAGTTGTCCCTATGCCTGCAATTATTAACATAATTAACTATAATTTATTTATATTTAATTATATCCTTTGACTTCGTTATGGTTTGTTCATTTTACTTAATTTTTATCAAAATCTGGTTTGACTTATTTTCGTTTGTCACATTTTGAATATTTTTCTTCAACCTCCTTTATTTTCTTCTATTTTCTCTCTATAGTAATTTTATTATTCAGAATAATTAGTTTTTTCCAGTGTTTGTTTCCATCAGTTGAATGTACCATGGACGTGCGTTTAGAGTCTTGATACATAACTTGGACAATATTAACATTAGAAGAATTAGTAGGCCTACATTTTTTTCCACATTTTTAGCATCGCCGCACCCTTTTACCGATATCCTAAAAACTTATAGAAACCGAAGTTTTTAACATGCCTCCACAATGTTGGGCAAATTCTGTTAAACATATAGAAAAAGCAGAACAATCATATCCCTATTGCAAATAATATAGAACAAATAATAATTAGAACAGGCGATGATAGCGATAGTGATACTGATATATTATGTGAATAATTTTAAGAAATTTAAGTAGGTGATAAAAATAATTTGTAATTTTATTTTAGATTTAAACATAAATACAAACATAAATAAAGCAATATTGTTTAATATCTTTCCTAACAAAACCCCAAATAATTAAATTCTAAGCAAAGTACATACCTGTTCGGCCATATTTCATTCTTACAGCTTGCCCAGGTCTTTTCTTAATTCGTATCAGTTAGTCACTTTCTTATAGCTATGAACATACTTTACCGCCGATGAAAGTTGCACCTAAGCGGACACTAGCGGCAAATATTAAATTTTCGCCTAAAATGTCATCTTAATATGCTGCACTATAGATGTAAACAACCAATTAACCTAACCGACTACGACACGCGTCCTGTCAATTAAAGGAACAATAAAACCCAAGATTAAGCGGTTGTGCAAAACGTAATTTATTTTTGAAGAAGTTTTTACGAAACGATTTTTCAGTATAACGTGTGTTGCTAGTGTCTATGCTAGACTGGCTTCTTGAATTTTGGGGACAATTGCAGTAGAAAAAACATTTATATAAACTGTCATAACTGGTTAATCACCAATCGAATCAGAACCATCACCTACCGCTGCGGTGACGCCATCGAAACAAGTTTTATGCATTATTTATATACAAGTTAGCGTTTTGGTGCTTTTATTTAGGCTTCCAAAATAAATGGAAAACGGCCGTTGTTTTTGGATGTAGAATGGTAGAATTTCGAATGTCTTTACGTTTTGACACGGCAATGTCGGTTCAGAACCTCCAACAAAATTACAAAAACCATTTAAATACTGAGCAACAATCTCGACGGACCTATGAAGAAGAAGAAGAAGCAACAAGCATGCAAGCAATGCTTTTGCTAATTATAGTATCGCCCTTATGGGTTTTCTAAATGAAATGTCACATTATTTGCTCGGGTTGGTAAAGGAACGCCCGCGTCTGCGACGTACGTCGCTACGTAGACGTCTCCGTCTGCGCCGGTGTAGGAGTAGTTATGTCCGGCACCTGCGGTTTGCTGTTTTCCATCCTTCTTCTGGGAAATATTGTTCCTCGTCTCGTAGCTAGAACGGAAATTAGCACCATTAAAATAAAATCCAAATTCGGGTCTAGACACGATATTTTCAACAATTGTTTTCAAATTACAAATTATTTTTTATGTTAGGTGTCGTTCCAAGTATTCCACAATTATTGTTTGGGTTCTATAAGCCCATGGTGCGCAACTTATCTTCATTTGCGACCCCCCTTTTTTTTAATTTGCCGTGTGTGGACAGTAGAGTTTTTTTTATCGTCAACGTAGTTAAAATAAAACTATTTCCGAAATTTCCTTTTATTAGAGGTTTTTACACAACACATAATTTTGTGAAACAATGGTTTTATTTAAACATATAAGTGCAAATATTTATTTAATTAAAAAAATGAATTTAAACATTTACTCATAAGAATTCGATGTGAAGTTTGTGCTTGCAAAGAACTCATCAGCGTAATCGTAATCCGTAAGTCATCCTCTTAATGCCAACTAATTTTGAAGTGCCGGATTCACATGAGCTCAACGCAAATTGGAATCGGTTGAAAATCGCCATATTTGTTTTTTAAATTGAGTAAAATTAAATAAATAAAAACACCTTCATTTTTCACTCGGCGAAGGTGCGCTAAATCAACTTACAATAAGGCAAATTTTACAACAAATATCGTAAATAAATTAGTTAATGAGCTAACTATAACAATAGATTAACAATAATAATAAACGAGAGAAAAAAAGTACAAAAATGTAACTTATTATAAAGTTTTGTTTGTTGAAGGTAACAATTGGGACATAGTCGGGAACCGCATTAGTTCGGATTTGTAACTTATGTCACAGTGGCTTGACAATAATTTACTAACAATCAACTTAGATAAAATACAATACTTGCCCTTTTCAAATTATAATGATCGACTACCTACAAACAATAAGCTTACTATAAAACTACTGTTTAGGAACAGTTGCTGGTCTTTACGTAGACCTGAGCATGTTACCTACCTAGGAATTCATATTGACTCAAATCTAAAGTGGAACTTCCATACGAAGAAATAGTGAAAAAGTTACGATCCTTAATGTATTTATTCTGGCAACTTACTAAAATATCTGATAAGCGATTACTTCTTTCTACTTATTTTTCACTGGTACAATCACTTATATCTTATGGAATAATTGGTTGGGGTACTGCCTATCATACAACTCTTCAGCCCCTTTACGTAATACAAAAAAGTAATTTGAAAATTATATTTAAGTTAAATCTGCGATATCCATGGGACTTAATTTTTACTCAATTTCAAATTCTATGAAACACACTTTAAACTTGGAGAAAATTTAACTTTACAAAAAATGCATTTATCTGTTGGACAAAAAAGTTACTTTTATACTGGTCAAAAAATTTAAAACGCACTGCCTCTGGAACTGGAAAATAAAATTAAATTAAAATTGTTTAAAAAAAAATTAACCTAGTGGCTTGTTGATGCGAAATTGTAACTTAAGCTTCTAAGTGGATGTTTATTATAAGTCAAATTCACATAATGTATTGTAACTATATAAAATCGTGTCTTTTTTTGGTAGAATATTATGTTTTTTTTTTCATATTATGGGAAATATAGTTAAATTAATCTGCGTTACGTTCAAAGATGGCCGTCAAATTTTTAACTTAGTATACCTTGAATATAAGTGTTTTTTTTTTGTATTAATATTTATTTAATATTTACATTGCAATAAGTGGTTAAATTGTATATTTTTATTGATTTAAATAAATATTATTTTTATTATATAATCAGCTTCTTTCAAAATTTTGTTTAAAATGCGCTATGGATGAGTTCGAGCATGCTTATCTCGGGCTATCCATTTAACAACTTAGCAGTCACATAGGAAAATTTATTCCGAGACATAGCTTTGTGAATTTTTGGTAACCCATAAAGATTTTTAAAACGTATACAAGGATTTAACATCTTATGTTAAAAGGAGGCTAGGTGCGGTTTTTGTCTATCGGCGATGTTAAGCCAACGTAATCCTTTCAGCTTTTCATCAACATGGTCTTTGAGTTTTAGATTGAATATGAAACGAATACATCTTTTGTAGTTTGGCCAAATCGAAACAGAAGTCAAATACAATAGTATATTATGCAACAAGTGCGGTAAACGGCATTTCACTCGCGAGTTAATTTGACACGAGCGGAGCGATTTAAAAAGTCTAGCGAACGTGTTGCATACTATACTTTTTCTACGACTGTTAATTTTTGGGTACATTTTCGCAGAACACGAATACATTCACTGACATGACCGTCAGAATTGACAAACGTCAAAATTCAAAGCGTGGAAAATATCTCCGAAAACATCCGATTGCTCCCAAACCCGTGCGGTAAAATTCCGGAAATGTCCGAAGTGGCTCGGATTCGTGGGAAACGAAAGTGATGTGGTCAAGTGACGCTTCCCGCAAGCTATATCACGTATTTACGCTATATTACGTATATTATTTATAATTAGGTATTTGATAGGCGGGAGTAAAAAAATGAAGTTTATAGGACGGTCGGTTCCATGACAGTTAAACGACAGTCACCAATTTTTATTTATGCACTGCAATTATTAAAAATACTAAATGCTGTGACGGTATAAAAAAGTCGCATTAATCGATTATTAGTGTTATTTTTTGGTAAAGCGTATGTCAGATAATCGGGACAAACATGATTTTGCTCATCATTTTTAGCAAAATAATTACTTACTTTACTTGATTCTAATAGATCACAGTAAAATTTAAATAGTCGATTTTAATTTTAGCATTTCTATTTTCTTTGCCCAGGAAATTGTTTGTTTTCGAACAAGTATTAAATTGCTGTAAAATGCCGTACAGCGTGAAATAGTGCAGTCGCCTTTGAAGAGATGGCAACGTAGGCAATTGAGTCTACCGGGGGTATAAACGAGAGTACTGCTATGCACCCCATCGGAAAAGGTGAGTTTTACCTTTTGAGTTTTAGATTTTTATAAAAAAAGAAATAAAATACATAAATACATTCAAAAGTCCACTGTTTAAAAGGCGCGGTGAAATTAGCGCTGTTTTCATCGCCCTGCCAGGAGATGGCGCCTTAGGTATTTAAAATGTTTACTAGTAACTGTATAAACGTTAAAACTAGCAATTTTTATCTTGCGGTATAATACAATATAAAATATACCTATTGCCGAAATATGGACGACAATGTTAGACAAACAGTAGTACAAAAATTTAAGCCATCATTTGGGCTTATTTCAAACCCCGAAATAAAAATACATAACAAAGTGATTGCAAAATAAAAGAAAGAGAACAAGGTTGATTTTTAGGACTGCTTTTAGTGGTAAATATCAAGGGATGTTTAGCAAGTGCAGCATAAATCAAACTGTTTATTAGGACTTAAAAACAACTAATTGCAAACACCACAAAAATGCGAGGTTGCCCTTGATAAATATCGCTTGGTGAAACTTCCACGAAAATTGCGCTTGGGAATTAAAGTTATGAGTGCGATAACCGAAGTTACAATAAATTCTTAGGGGGTCAAATGAATGTGCGTGGGAGTTTAAGGCGGCTGATTTTTATTTCTAAGTTTGCAATTTAGATTCGCAGCTCATTAGTATCGTTCCGCAATCGACTGACGTTATTGCAGCAGCCACAAGTTTCGGCTTAATTGCCAGAGAAAGGAGATACCGCTGATGCAACTCGCACCTAAGCGAATACCAGCCACAAACTTTAAACTTTGGTCCAAAATGTCATCTTAATAGACACACTATAGTTGCACAATAAACGATTTATTAACATGACCTATTACGACACACCAACTAAAGGAACAATAAAACTCGAGATTAAACAGTTGTGCCAAACGTTATTTATTTTTGCAGAGTTCGTTGCGTGTATAATGTGTCTGGTGTCTATGATAGATTTGCTTGTTGAATTTTGGGGGCATTTACAGTAGAGAAAATAATGGTATAAGCCGTCACCTACCGCTACATTGATCTGCCCCACTCGAAACAAGATTAATGCATCATTTATATACGAATTAGCGTTTGGGTGCTGTTATTTTGACACCTAACGCAATAAAAAGAAAACGGACATGGTTTTTGGATATGTGGAATACTGGAAAAGTAAATATATCAGTTAACAAAGCAGCTTTAACTTTATCGTTGGCTGGTGACGTTTCACTAGCACAAGAAACAAGTTTCATCTACTAGCACGCGTTAAATTTAAAAAATTTTGAGAAAACATTGCTAGAAATTACAATTTCAAGTTTACACAGAGCTAATCTTTAGATCGAATGGGCCGTGGTACGTCAAACATTAATCCTTGCAGTCGGGCGAGCATTTGCTTTAAGCATAACTCCCTACATTTTGAAATCAAATGAATGATCACTATGAAAAATAAGTTTCATTTCGTCATCGTATATAAAAACTGTATATACCCACAAATGTATAAATAGGCAACAGTATTTTAATGTAACAAAATAGTCGTGATTAGGTAGGACGCTCTGATACGCCAAGGCCCTTTGAGACCATCCGACGGACCATTTAAATACTGAGCCACAGCCTCGACGATCGCCGGTAATGGGTGAGTGTTCATAGTAGTCGTGCTCAACTGTTTCTTAAACGTATGAAGAAAGAGAAGAGGAAAGACTGTGCAAATAATGTTTGCGGTCATTATGATATCGCCCTTATGGGTTTCCTAACTAAAATTTCAACTTATTTGCCCTGTTTTGGTGAATGAACTCCCCTCGGTTTGAAGCCGTCCGCGTCTGGGACGTACTGCACTGTGTAGACGACTCCGTCTGCGTCAGTATATAAGTAATTATTTTGGTTACCCACGCTTTGCAGTGCTTCATCTTTCTTCTTGGAAATACCGTTCTTCGCCTCGTAGCTAGAATGGAAATTTGCGCCATTAAAATAGAGCTTTCTTCATTTTTTGTTATTGGTTGCAAAATTATTTTTTATATTAAATGTTGTAAAGAAGGGGGATTATTGGCAATATTTATTATTTGGGTTCTATAAGCCATTGTATGGAGTATGCAATCAACTATTGACTAACGTATTTTTCTTAATATGCTTATTATTTTAAGTTAAATTTTAAGGAATTTCGCCAAAGGTTGTGAACAAAAAACACAATTTCGTATCTCGATACGCTGAAATTGTTAACGACCGTTAGTTTTTGGGTACATTTTCGCAAAACAAGACGAATATCTCCGAAAACATCCGATTGTTCACAAACCCGTGCGGTAAAATCCCGGAAATGTCCGAAGTGGCTCTGATCCATGTGAAACGAAACTGAAGTGGTAAAGTCACGGTTCCCGCACGCTAGATCGGTGTGTAATTAGGCATTTTACAGACGGGAGTAGAAAAAATCATTAACCGAATAAAGTACATTAATTGTTTTTTAACGTTGGAGTTATGGGTTTATATTTTGATTAAATTAAGTTTTAATGAATAATAAAAATTATAATTGTACTACACCAACACTTTTGCCATACCGTTTTTTAAAAAGTAATATTAATACATACACTAACTTTAGTTTTGTATAGAACCAATTTTTCATAAAATACTTTTTTTTTGTATTTTAAATCGTAATCGTAATTTTGATGCAATTCAGGTACAGGGTTAAGATGTTTTCTATATTCTTTAGACACCTTCTTTCTTCTTAATGGCTAAAATGCAGTACTTGGAATGGAACAAATTAAATGTCTGTGTATAGTGAAATATATATAATATTTGGGCACTATTTCATTCACCTTCTTTCCATTTAGCACTTCGAATTTTAAATAGTTTAAATTCAACATTTCGTGAATAATTCAAAACGTATTAGCGTTCTTGAAAATCGAAAAATAAATTTTAATTATTTGATTTAATACCACACTAGGTCAAATTAGATTCGGAAACTTTTTCGAGCTCACGAATATTTTTAAAATTATCTGGAGTCGATGACGAGGATTAATTTTGTAAAAATATTAATTTTACCTCTAGTGGTATTACCAGTGAAAATTTCACACCAGTAGTTTTATTGACAGCTATAAAAAAGTGGCGATGTTTTCATTTTTAAACGGTTTTGGCGCGAATTGTGTACTTTTACTATTATAGGTAGCCAGTTTGGTATGATATAATATTGAATATCGATTTTAGCGTTGGGCAGTTTTAATGTTTGATTTAGTTGTTTTTGGTTTTTTAAAAGCGAAAAAATTTTTGAGAAAAGTTAATCCGGTAAGAGTTGTACTCGAATGAATAACACTACAAAATTTCAAGGACATCTCTCCCATGAATTCTCAAAATATTTAAAAAACAATACATTTTGTCTTGGAATTGTCAATATTCTAAACAGTTTTCCTAGGATTTATTAAGATGACGTTAAAATTATGTCCAAAATTATAGAAACGGTTTTTGACACTCACGCGAACATATTTCCATCGATTTTGTCGCCAAGTCTTTGAGGGGCTGCTAAGCACAGGACCAAAAGGGCGGAAAAGACGACGATCTGAAAACACACATTAAATATTACATACATTTAAGTCACGGCTATGGACCACATTTAATGCCATATGAACGAAAACGAAAAAAAGATTCCCGAACATTTACAAAATAATGGCGACTCAAACTCACCATTTTCATTTGAAAGTTTTTTTTATTTTCGGGTAAATGTCGAACGTAAATGTAGCAGACTTCGGTATCAACTGATATGCCGATAGAAAACGGTGTCCTTTTATAGGTAACCAATTTACACGCAGACTTGGCCTCTGGTGAATTTTTAGTTAGCGTGATATTTAACCAAGGGGCATCCTTGGGCATCCACGAGTAAAGGCACCGATTCACCGGTCAACAAAGATTTTGTGATATGGTGTTTTTCATATTTTTGGAGATATGGGAACTAAACTAATAGCAAAACAATGTTGTTTTTGTTTCGATCACGCAATATTTTCGAATTCATTTTGTAGGTGTCATATTTATTGTTTTAAAAATAGGAACGTTATATAACATTCTGAAGAGTGTAATTGTTACGCCACTAGCATACATTTTGCATAAATCAACAGAATACTAGCAGGGCATCCCCGAAAGTAAAATACAGTTTTTGGGATTCCCAAATATGTAGTCAAAACATTGCCGTGAAATAGCGTTTGTTGTAGGCAGTCGTTTCGTTAGTGATCGTTAGTGATCGTTGTGCAGCTACATTTCTTCTTAAAATGCCAAGATTTTTAAAAAATATTAGAGATACGTTCCCCTGTCAATACCAAATTATACCAATACTAATACAATTGCTGTTCAAGGTAAACCAGATGTCCCAATATTTGAGAATGAGGCGAAATTAGACGAATAGGCCACCAATTTTTCCGATCCTGATATAGATGAAGATACCCTTAGTGATGTTGGTGATATATGGAGTGTTTCTCAGCAACGGTATAAAAAAGTCGCATTAATCGATTATTAGTGTTATTTTTTGGTAAAGCGTATGTCAGATAATCGGGACAAACATGATTTTGCTCATCATTTTTAGCAAAATAATTACTTACTTTACTTGATTCTAATAGATCACAGTAAAATTTAAATAGTCGATTTTAATTTTAGCATTTCTATTTTCTTTGCCCAGGAAATTGTTTGTTTTCGAACAAGTATTAAATTGCTGTAAAATGCCGTACAGCGTGAAATAGTGCAGTCGCCTTTGAAGAGATGGCAACGTAGGCAATTGAGTCTACCGGGGGTATAAACGAGAGTACTGCTATGCACCCCATCGGAAAAGGTGAGTTTTACCTTTTGAGTTTTAGATTTTTATAAAAAAAGAAATAAAATACATAAATACATTCAAAAGTCCACTGTTTAAAAGGCGCGGTGAAATTAGCGCTGTTTTCATCGCCCTGCCAGGAGATGGCGCCTTAGGTATTTAAAATGTTTACTAGTAACTGTATAAACGTTAAAACTAGCAATTTTTATCTTGCGGTATAATACAATATAAAATATACCTATTGCCGAAATATGGACGACAATGTTAGACAAACAGTAGTACAAAAATTTAAGCCATCATTTGGGCTTATTTCAAACCCCGAAATAAAAATACATAACAAAGTGATTGCAAAATAAAAGAAAGAGAACAAGGTTGATTTTTAGGACTGCTTTTAGTGGTAAATATCAAGGGATGTTTAGCAAGTGCAGCATAAATCAAACTGTTTATTAGGACTTAAAAACAACTAATTGCAAACACCACAAAAATGCGAGGTTGCCCTTGATAAATATCGCTTGGTGAAACTTCCACGAAAATTGCGCTTGGGAATTAAAGTTATGAGTGCGATAACCGAAGTTACAATAAATTCTTAGGGGGTCAAATGAATGTGCGTGGGAGTTTAAGGCGGCTGATTTTTATTTCTAAGTTTGCAATTTAGATTCGCAGCTCATTAGTATCGTTCCGCAATCGACTGACGTTATTGCAGCAGCCACAAGTTTCGGCTTAATTGCCAGAGAAAGGAGATACCGCTGATGCAACTCGCACCTAAGCGAATACCAGCCACAAACTTTAAACTTTGGTCCAAAATGTCATCTTAATAGACACACTATAGTTGCACAATAAACGATTTATTAACATGACCTATTACGACACACCAACTAAAGGAACAATAAAACTCGAGATTAAACAGTTGTGCCAAACGTTATTTATTTTTGCAGAGTTCGTTGCGTGTATAATGTGTCTGGTGTCTATGATAGATTTGCTTGTTGAATTTTGGGGGCATTTACAGTAGAGAAAATAATGGTATAAGCCGTCACCTACCGCTACATTGATCTGCCCCACTCGAAACAAGATTAATGCATCATTTATATACGAATTAGCGTTTGGGTGCTGTTATTTTGACACCTAACGCAATAAAAAGAAAACGGACATGGTTTTTGGATATGTGGAATACTGGAAAAGTAAATATATCAGTTAACAAAGCAGCTTTAACTTTATCGTTGGCTGGTGACGTTTCACTAGCACAAGAAACAAGTTTCATCTACTAGCACGCGTTAAATTTAAAAAATTTTGAGAAAACATTGCTAGAAATTACAATTTCAAGTTTACACAGAGCTAATCTTTAGATCGAATGGGCCGTGGTACGTCAAACATTAATCCTTGCAGTCGGGCGAGCATTTGCTTTAAGCATAACTCCCTACATTTTGAAATCAAATGAATGATCACTATGAAAAATAAGTTTCATTTCGTCATCGTATATAAAAACTGTATATACCCACAAATGTATAAATAGGCAACAGTATTTTAATGTAACAAAATAGTCGTGATTAGGTAGGACGCTCTGATACGCCAAGGCCCTTTGAGACCATCCGACGGACCATTTAAATACTGAGCCACAGCCTCGACGATCGCCGGTAATGGGTGAGTGTTCATAGTAGTCGTGCTCAACTGTTTCTTAAACGTATGAAGAAAGAGAAGAGGAAAGACTGTGCAAATAATGTTTGCGGTCATTATGATATCGCCCTTATGGGTTTCCTAACTAAAATTTCAACTTATTTGCCCTGTTTTGGTGAATGAACTCCCCTCGGTTTGAAGCCGTCCGCGTCTGGGACGTACTGCACTGTGTAGACGACTCCGTCTGCGTCAGTATATAAGTAATTATTTTGGTTACCCACGCTTTGCAGTGCTTCATCTTTCTTCTTGGAAATACCGTTCTTCGCCTCGTAGCTAGAATGGAAATTTGCGCCATTAAAATAGAGCTTTCTTCATTTTTTGTTATTGGTTGCAAAATTATTTTTTATATTAAATGTTGTAAAGAAGGGGGATTATTGGCAATATTTATTATTTGGGTTCTATAAGCCATTGTATGGAGTATGCAATCAACTATTGACTAACGTATTTTTCTTAATATGCTTATTATTTTAAGTTAAATTTTAAGGAATTTCGCCAAAGGTTGTGAACAAAAAACACAATTTCGTATCTCGATACGCTGAAATTGTTAACGACCGTTAGTTTTTGGGTACATTTTCGCAAAACAAGACGAATATCTCCGAAAACATCCGATTGTTCACAAACCCGTGCGGTAAAATCCCGGAAATGTCCGAAGTGGCTCTGATCCATGTGAAACGAAACTGAAGTGGTAAAGTCACGGTTCCCGCACGCTAGATCGGTGTGTAATTAGGCATTTTACAGACGGGAGTAGAAAAAATCATTAACCGAATAAAGTACATTAATTGTTTTTTAACGTTGGAGTTATGGGTTTATATTTTGATTAAATTAAGTTTTAATGAATAATAAAAATTATAATTGTACTACACCAACACTTTTGCCATACCGTTTTTTAAAAAGTAATATTAATACATACACTAACTTTAGTTTTGTATAGAACCAATTTTTCATAAAATACTTTTTTTTTGTATTTTAAATCGTAATCGTAATTTTGATGCAATTCAGGTACAGGGTTAAGATGTTTTCTATATTCTTTAGACACCTTCTTTCTTCTTAATGGCTAAAATGCAGTACTTGGAATGGAACAAATTAAATGTCTGTGTATAGTGAAATATATATAATATTTGGGCACTATTTCATTCACCTTCTTTCCATTTAGCACTTCGAATTTTAAATAGTTTAAATTCAACATTTCGTGAATAATTCAAAACGTATTAGCGTTCTTGAAAATCGAAAAATAAATTTTAATTATTTGATTTAATACCACACTAGGTCAAATTAGATTCGGAAACTTTTTCGAGCTCACGAATATTTTTAAAATTATCTGGAGTCGATGACGAGGATTAATTTTGTAAAAATATTAATTTTACCTCTAGTGGTATTACCAGTGAAAATTTCACACCAGTAGTTTTATTGACAGCTATAAAAAAGTGGCGATGTTTTCATTTTTAAACGGTTTTGGCGCGAATTGTGTACTTTTACTATTATAGGTAGCCAGTTTGGTATGATATAATATTGAATATCGATTTTAGCGTTGGGCAGTTTTAATGTTTGATTTAGTTGTTTTTGGTTTTTTAAAAGCGAAAAAATTTTTGAGAAAAGTTAATCCGGTAAGAGTTGTACTCGAATGAATAACACTACAAAATTTCAAGGACATCGTCCCATGAATTCTCAAAATATTTAAAAAACAATACATTTTGTCTTGGAATTGTCAATATTCTAAACAGTTTTCCTAGGATTTATTAAGATGACGTTAAAATTATGTCCAAAATTATAGAAACGGTTTTTGACACTCACGCGAACATATTTCCATCGATTTTGTCGCCAAGTCTTTGAGGGGCTGCTAAGCACAGGACCAAAAGGGCGGAAAAGACGACGATCTGAAAACACACATTAAATATTACATACATTTAAGTCACGGCTATGGACCACATTTAATGCCATATGAACGAAAACGAAAAAAAGATTCCCGAACATTTACAAAATAATGGCGACTCAAACTCACCATTTTCATTTGAAAGTTTTTTTTATTTTCGGGTAAATGTCGAACGTAAATGTAGCAGACTTCGGTATCAACTGATATGCCGATAGAAAACGGTGTCCTTTTATAGGTAACCAATTTACACGCAGACTTGGCCTCTGGTGAATTTTTAGTTAGCGTGATATTTAACCAAGGGGCATCCTTGGGCATCCACGAGTAAAGGCACCGATTCACCGGTCAACAAAGATTTTGTGATATGGTGTTTTTCATATTTTTGGAGATATGGGAACTAAACTAATA